ATATTTGTGATCAGATGAATCTTGTCCCTTATGTGACAACATCCACCCATCCGTGTTGCAAGGTTGCAATGGCACTTCTCGAATACGTATGTATGATAACATATGGTCGGTGTTCAGCAAGAGCATGTTCCAAATCCTGCTATATGGCTAGCATCTCTGGTTGTAAAGTTGAACACCCGTTTGAGTCTCCAACTAACTGCAGAATTTCCTGCCATAACTGCAGCTCCGATATCTTATCCCTGCTGGTCTACTGGTCATACTTCACATATCTGTGAAGTATGTGCCGCTGTCAGATGCCAAGTACAGATGCACAGATGAACATAAAGCACTGATGACTGCCTTCCATGTCGACTACCCTAGTCAACACGACACACTGTGAATCAACAGTGTTGGCCTTACGAGCTCTATAAGGTTATTATCTACAGTAACTTACTGACCAACACCATCTATAGTTTAGCCCTGAATACAGTTGAGGACTAAAGTATACTCAAAATATATATATAGGGAGAAGCAAAAGACATCACTGGGTGTAGGTGTCAGCTGTGCTGCGGCTTGGAAGCGCTCCAGCACCGATGGAACGATAGCAGCCCACACATCATCTCTAATTGCCAAGATGGCCGCTAGTTACGTCAAGGAAGCTACCCACACCATTAATTCAACTCATATTTTACAAAAATTATTAAGTAATTAGACGATTATTTACGGCCAGATAGACACAAAAGGCTATCAATATATTTTGAAATCCCACATTTTCAACATATATTATTATGTAGACATTACTTATGAGTGAACAGAAGACGTCGTTAATATAGGCGAGTTTAATGTGTAAGTTAAGGACTACAAGTGTCCGGTCCAGACCTGCACGTCGTCTGTGGCTACTCTTTATGGCACACAATGGTTTTACCTGTAGCTCACAACATATATATTACCTATGGCTGACCATTCAATTTTAATTTTACCCCGAGGGTCGAGTTTATTGGGCAGCGCCACTCATCCTGTGAGTAGACACACCACCATAGCAACATGTACAACACCCCCCAATAGGAAGAAAACCCGCTGGGTTGTTAATCCTGTCACTTGTACCCAGACACAGCTGGGACTTGCTTAACTGTCTCAAGTGAACAGCTCTTCAAAAATATGATTAACATTAGTCAACCCTTAAAATCTTACGTTATCTTGCGGGTACAAAACGGAGGAATCTTTTAAGAACAGTATAAATACTTGACAAATAGTATTTTCCTAACTCAAACAATGTGGCTCTCATTATTCTACACATATTTCTAATGACTCATATATTCACACTCTCTCAGGTAGTGGTCAAGGCGGTGTCCATCACTTTCATCACAGAGTCTGCAACTCCGCTGCTCAACTGTTGTTTCCATTCTGAATCTCCATGGAAATTTGTATCCAAAACGGATTCTTGCTATTACTAACTCTCTCCCGCGTCCATCTCCTCTTCGTCCATAATGATTGGGATTGCCAGCTGCAATTATATTCTACCATCGCTCAGATTCATTGATTTGTTATTCTATCCTCCTTTCCTCAGTTACCTTGTCATGGTGATGTTGCCTGATAATACCTCTAATATGTAGAAGAGTCTTGGGTATGAAGAATTCAATATGGTCTCCTTCAGCGCCTTCAACAGCCAGCACATCTGCTCGTTAATTCCCACATATTCCAACATGGGAGGGAACCCACAGGAACTTGACGACTCTTCCCTGGTTGATTAGTACCATTACAGCTCTCTTAATTTCAGCAACTATCGCAAGATTATCCGCCCGATTTCTATTAAGGCTTTGTAGTGCTGCTATTGAATCAGTGTATATCACTCGCCATTAGTGTTTCGTTCAAGGAATCTTAACGCATAACAATGGCAGTTAGCTCTGCTTGCGTTGAAGAGGCATAGTTCTCAATACGTTCTTTCTCTTCATTTCTGCAATGAAAGGCATAATTCTTTATTACAATGTATGCTGCACCAGCCCTGTCGTTGACAGGATTATATGACCCGTCAGTGTAGATTTGATCGAATTTATTCCCGGCTTCTTTATAAATTTCCTCAAGATACTTGTGCCTCATTTCTTGTGGTATCATGTTGGACTTTTTCGTTGACCAAATGTTACCTATGGCGGACCTTAAGTATTACCCCAGTTGACCATAGACATTATCTGCAGCTGACCAAAGATATTACCTATAACCGACTGCTAGGAATGTATATAACTATGTATTATTTTTGTGTCGTGGAAGACGCCAGACGTCAGAATAATGACAGACCGAAGGTCAGCCAGTATTCCTCCGCCGGCCAAGTAGTACAGTAGTACATACCTGTTGGATAAATAAACAGATTGTTAACGAAAAAATTAACTTCGTACCAATGATAAAGTTCTTGATTGGTTAGGCTGGCCATATTGATACTACACTTTTGTTTGTGGATAATAGTTTGTTATGTGTCTTGGTAGGGTCATGTGTCTTCATTATGTATACTGGTAATATGATGTGTCTTCATTATTTATCCTGGTAACATGATGTGTCGTTATTATGTATCCTGGCAACATGATGTGTCTTCATTATGTGTCTGCCAGGATAATGTGTCTTCATTTACTTCAAGATAAATAATGCCATGATGTGAGGATGACTTATGCACATTGATCCAAGGAGAAATAGTGGTGTTGTTTCATGATACAGCGACACACATGTGTCCGAGGCGAGGGGAGGGGGGAGGCGGAGAGAGAACCCACATGGTCTAGTCAATTAAAAGTGCAGCGTGGCGGCTCATTCTTATACATTGATTTCAGTTAATTTTGTTTCTATCTGTCAATCTATTATTAATGATACACACCAAACAAGGTGTGGTCCTTATAGGTGGCCGCAGGTAGACCACAGGTTAACTTATGGGTAAAAGCACCTGGCCAAAGTTCACAATATTCTGAAAAAAATCCTATAAAAACGTTGGCAGATTTGGTGAGGTTTATGTTTCATCATTATGTTTTAATGGGTATAGTGGGAGGGGGTCTGGGAGGCCAGGCTGCCGGCATGGTGCCGTCTTGCCTGAGCATGTTGCCTGCACGTGTTGCATGCACATGTTGCCTGCACGTGTTGCCTGAGCATGTTGCCTGCACGTGTTGCATGCACATGTTGCCTGCACGTGTTGCCTGAGCATGTTGCCTGCACATGTTGCCAGAACATGTTGCCTCCACGCGTTGCCTGAGCATGTTGCCTGCACGTGTTGCCTGAGCATGTTGCCTGAGCATGTTGGTAGAGCATGTTGGTAGAGCATGTTGCCTGAGCATGTTGGTAGAGCATGTTGCCTGAGCATGTTGGTAGAGCATGTTGCCTGAGCATGTTGGTAGAGCATGTTGCCTGAGCATGTTGCCTGCACATCTTGCCTGAGCATGTCCCAGGTACCTATTTACTGTTAGGTAAACAGGGGCATCAGGATGAAATAAACTCTGCCCATTTGTTTCCGCCATCGCCGGAGATCGATCCCCGGACCACAGGACTACGAATCCCGAGCGCTGTCCACTCAGCCGCGAGGCCATGTGTGTGTGTGTGTGTGTGTGTGTGTGTGTGTGTGTGTGTGTGTGTGTGTGTGTGTGTGTGTGTGTGTGTGTGTGTGTGTTCTGGCAGGTACTGGCAGCCGGGGTATATACTGGGTATATTTATATATCCACTGTAGAAGCCAACTGTGTCACACACACACATGGCCCCTTGTGTGTGTGTCCCCACACATGTGTCCTGGGATCCATGGCCCGGGGATCGAGCCCCGGCGATGGCGGAAACAAATGGGTAGAGTTTCTTTCACCCTGATGCTCCTGCTACCTAGCGGTAAATAGGTACCTGGGAGTTAGACAGCAGTTACGGAGCTGCTTCCTGTGTGTGTGTGGGGGGGTGAAATTAGTTAGTAGTTAGTAACAGTTGATTGACAGTTGAGAGGCGGGCCGAAAGAGCAGAGTTCAACCCCCTCAAGCACAATTAGCTGAATACACACACACACACACACACACAAGTCACGACTTCTGTTAGGCGAAAGCTAGAATATGCAGCGGTTGTGTGGTGCCCATATCTTAAGAAGCACATCAACAAACTGGAAAAGGTGCATTACCCACACACACACACACACACACACACACACACACACACACACACACACACACACACACACACACATGGCCTCGCGGCTGAGTGGACAGCGCTCTGGGGTCGTAATCCTAAGGGCGCGGATTCGATCCCGGACGAGGCATAAACAAATGGGCAGAATTTCTTTCACCCTGATGCCCCTGTTCACCTAGCAGCAAATAGGTACCTTGGAGTTAGACAGCTGCTACGGGCTGCTTCCTGGGGGTGGGTAATAAAAAGGGAGGCCTGGTCGAGGACCGGGCCGCGGAGACGCTAAGCCCCGAAATCACCTCAAGATAATGTCTCTCTCTCTCTCTCTCGGGGGGAGGGGGTGAAGTTGGTTACACACGATTAACTAATTTGGAGGAGCAGAGCTTAGGCGTCACAAGAGGATTTCAAAACAGGTCAAGTGAGAGGGAGGAGAGGAAGGGGGCCGCGCCCCCTCTCCACCACTCAAGGTGCTGGAGACACCACGGAGGGTGAGTGGCACTCCATTTCACACAAACTCAACCAACTATCAACAGCCCGCTAACAGTTACATTCTACCATCTTCAAAGTATTGACAGAACATCCAGCATACTGCTCCAGCCATCACATGAACAGAGGAAGTAGCATAAAGCCTCCTGACCCTTGCGACACCTCACTCTTGGCTATATATTCGACTACTCTAACTAAATTATATTACGGGCTATTCATGTCCGTGCCACCTCTTGGGTGGCTTAATCTTTATTGATCAATCAATCTAAATTGTATCCACTTCTACTCTGCCTTTGAAAATGTTGACAGAATCAAGGAAACGCATCTCTTAGCGTCAGGCCATATAAACTGTAAAATGAATTCTGGAGAGTTCATTTTTCAACTTCTAAATATTTGTGGCACCAACTTACCTTGGGCGCGGAACTGTCAACGTCCTTCCAGGCACTGAAGCCTCCATGAGTGATATATGGCCTCATCACCCTTGGGTACACGTTCCCTGACACCCTGGGAAGGCAGCCCTCCCGTATCTGCTGCAGCTCCAGCTCCTCCTGCTGCTCTGTGCTGCGTCTGGAGCGAGGCACATACACGCTAGGAAGAGACTGTGGCTCCTGAAGGCTCGACCTGGACGTGGCTAAGCTTGAGCAGCTATCGAAGTGACTCTTGTTGGCCAGCCGCTCAGGAAAGCCTCCGATCATCTTTAAGAACGAGTTGAGAGTGTGTCGCTTAGATATATCTGGGCCTAAGGCAGGAGTCGCGGCCGCTAAGATAATGTCATCAAAGAAAGAGAGGTTGGACACGCTGTCATAGGGGTTGATGTCCAAGTCACAAGGCAGGGACCTTCGTCTGTGATTGATGTTCGTGTCGCGTGATTGGGACTTGTATCTCGGAGTGATGTCCAGGCCGCTGGGCAGGGACTTGCGTCTCGTGCTGATGTCACAGCTGAAGGGTAGGGTCTTGTGTGTTGAGTTGATGTCCCAATCACAGGGCAGGAACTGGCGCTTCGGGTTGATGTCCGACGTGGATGTCGAGTTGATATCCAAGACGCAGGGTTGGGGCAAGGATGTCGACTTGATGGTCAGACCGCAGGGTTGGGACTGAGTTCTCGGATTGACGTCCCAGTCGCATGGTAGGGACTGGCGTCTGATGTTGATGTCCAAGCCAGAGGGCATGGACTTGAGTATCGGGTGGATGTTACAGGGCAGGGACTTGCGTCTCGGGTGGACGTTCAACTTATCACACACAGTTACGTCGCCGAAAGAAACACTGAGACGGCAGTCGTTGGCCGCCCTGGAGAGCGGCGGGTGAATTACACCCAGGCGACGTCTCTGTCTTCTTGGGACGACTGGTGCGGCATCATCAGCCCCGCTGGTCTCTGTGGGGGCACAGCCACCATCTGCCCCACTGCCCATTGTGGGCACACAGCCACCATCTGCCCCACTGCCCATTGTGGGCACACAGCCACCATCTGCCCCACTGCCCACTGTGGGCACACAGCCACCATCTGCCCCACTGCCCACTGTGGGCACACAGCTACCATCTGCCCCACTGCCCACTGTGGGCACACAGCCATCCTTGCTAGTTCTACGATACCATTCTGTGAAAGCTGAGAGATGTCCCAAGGAAGGTGTGGCAGCGCCCCATGTAGAGTCCGGGAGACTAGCGGCGTTTGAGTCCTGGAACTCTTGCGCGTGTGAGGAGTCTGTCACGTCCTTGTGGCGCTCAGCGACGGCGTCAAGGATGGGGAAGACGATGGGTGTCTCTGCCAGGGGCGACCCTGGCCGGTCCTCACCCTTTACTGCATTGTCTTCATCACACTTTTCTTTTGCCATTTCCTCAAGGCAAAGTGTGTCGCCCACAACGACCGTTTGAGACATGTGTCACGGTCACTTCCCGCGACCTGTCACTCACGGTCACTTTCCGCGATCTGTCACTCACGGTCACTTCCCGCGACCTGTCACTCACGGTCACCTCCCGCGACCTGTCACTCACGGTCACTTCCCGCGACCTGTCACTCACGAGAACCGAAAATCTAGGATATGATGTATTAGAGGCGAGGTGGGCTGTGAAATGCTGCTGGTGCCAGAGTCCAGCAGAGAGCAGCAGCAGCAGCAGCTGGCCCTCGTCCGCTCAGTGACCGTCTACGAGGCCTGAACCCTCTACACTTACCTCAGTCAGGTGTAAACTACCATATCATCGCCCCCCCCCACCTCTCACACTCCCCCCTCCAACACATCTCTGCCTCCCAATGGCCTTAATGTCAGGTCTAGGTACAACGTTGTTTATCTTGTCTCTAATAGGCCTTGCCACACCTCCAGACGATCAATTTATTAGTAAGATACTGAAGCTGGATTATAAGGACAGAGCTGAGTAAAAGAATGATCAACACACCTGAAGGTGTCTTCCATGTACAGGTTGACGTGTAGGCGGAGACGAGGCCTCCAGGGAGTGCCACAGGGGCACCTTCTGCCACCTTCATTGTTCATAGTATAAATTACTCATCTTTATAATGACGGTACAGACAGTATATAAAGAAAAGCATATTATTAAGTTAATGAAAGACTGGGAATTACAGAAAGATCTCACATGTCGTAATGTGTAATTATGTGTAGAGATTGGTCACTCTGAGAGCTCCGAGCTGGTCACCCTAGCATGTTACAGTTCTGGTCATCCTAGCTTGTTACAGTGCTGGTCACACTAGCATGTTACAGTGCTGGTCACCCTAGCATGTTACAGCGCTGGTCACCCTAGCAAGTTACAGTGCTGGTCACACTAGCATGTTACAGGGCTGATCACCCTAGCATGTTACAGTGCTGGTCACCCTAGCATGTTACAGGGCTGGTCACCCTAGCATGTTACAGAGCTGGTCACCCTAGCATGTTACAGTGCTGGTCACCCTAGGGAGCCGGTCGGCCGAGCGGACAGCACGCGGGACTTGTGATCCTGTGGACCTGGGTTCGATCCCAGGCACCGGCGAGAAACAATGGGCAGAGTTTCTTTCACCCTATGCCCCCTGTTACCTAGCAGTAAAATAGGTACCTGGGTGTTAGTCAGCTGTCACGGGCTGCTTCCTGGGGGTGGAGGCCTGGTCGAGGACCGGGCCGCGGGGACACTAAAAGCCCCGAAATAATCTCAAGATAACCTCAAGATAACCCTAGCATGTTACAGTGCTGGTCACCCTAGCATGTTACAGTGCTGGTCACACTAGCATGTTACAGGGCTGGTCACACTAGCATGTTACAGGGCTGGTCACACTAGCATGTTCCAGGGCTGGTCACACTAGCATGTTACAGTGCTGGTCACCCTAGCATGTTACAGGGCTGGTCACCCTAGCATGTTACAGAGCTGGTCACCCTAGCATGTTACAGTGCTGGTCACCCTAGCATGTTACAGTACTGGTCACACTAGCATGTTACAGGGCTGGTCACACTAGCATGTTCCAGGGCTGGTCACACTAGCATGTTACAGTGGTGGCCACACTAGCATGTTACAGGGCTGGTCACCCTAGCATGTTACAGAGCTGGTCACACTAGCATGTTACAGGGCTGGTCACACTAGCATGTTACAGGGCTGGTCACCCTAGCATGTTACAGGGCTGGTCACCCTAACATGTTACAGGGCTGATCACCCTAGCATGTTACAGGGCTGATCACCCTAACATGTTACAGGGCTGATCACCCTAGCATGTTACAGGGCTGATCACCCTAGCATGTTACAGGGCTGTTCACCCTAGCATGCTACAGGGCTGATCACCCTAGCATGTTACAGGGTTGATCACCCTAGCATGTTACAGGGCTGATCACCCTAGCATGTTACAGGGCTGATCACCCTAGCTTGTTACAGGGCTGATCACCCTAGCATGTTACAGTGCTGATTACCCTAACATGTTACAGGGCTGATCACCCTAACATGTTACATGGCTGATCACCCTAGCATGTTACAGGGCTGATCACCCTAGCATGTTACAGGGCTGATCACCCTAGCATGTTACAGGGCTGTTCACCCTAGCATGCTACAGGGCTGATCACCCTAGCATGTTACAGGGTTGATCACCCTAGCATGTTACAGGGCTGATCACCCTAGCATGTTACAGGGCTGTTCACCCTAGCATGCTACAGGGCTGATCACCCTAGCATGTTACAGGGTTGATCACCCTAGCATGTTACAGGGCTGATCACCCTAGCATGTTACAGGGCTGATCACCCTAGCATGTTACAGGGCTGATCACCCTAGCATGTTACAGTGCTGATTACCCTAACATGTTACAGGGCTGATCACCCTAACATGTTACATGGCTGATCACCCTAGAATGTTACAGGGCTGATCACCCTAGCATGTTACAGGGCTGATCACCCTAGCATGTTACAGGGCTGTTCACCCTAGCATGCTACAGGGCTGATCACCCTAGCATGTTACAGGGTTGATCACCCTAGCATGTTACAGGGCTGATCACCCTAGCATGTTACAGGGCTGATCACCCTAGCATGTTACAGGGCTGATCACCCTAGCATGTTACAGGGCTGATCACCCTAGCATGTTACAGGGCTGATCACCCTAGCATGCTACAGGGCTGATCACACTAGCATGTTACAGGGCTGATCACCCTAGCATGTTACAGGGCTGTTCACCCTAGCATGCTACAGGGCTGATCACCCTAGCATGTTACAGGGTTGATCACCCTAGCATGTTACAGGGCTGATCACCCTAGCATGTTACAGGGCTGATCACCCTAGCATGTTACAGGGCTGATCACCCTAGCATGTTACAGGGCTGATCACCCTAGCATGTTACAGGGCTGATTACCCTAGCATGCTACAGGGCTGATCACACTAGCATGTTACAGGGCTGATCACCCTAGCATGTTACAGGGCTGATCACCCTAGCATTGTAGTATATATATCCAGCAGCAGCAGGAATATTACTTACGAAGATAGATTAATAATAATGATTTTCCCCCTTGATGTCCAACATTTTAGAAAGATGACAATAGTGTAAGGAGAGTGTAAACAAGGGAGATATGAAGAACACACAAGGCTGGGGTGTAAACAAGGGAGATATGAAGAACACACAAGGCTGGGGTGTAAACAAGGGAGATATGAAGAACACACAAGGCTGGGGTGTAAACAAGGGAGATATGAAGAACACACAAGGCTGGAGGTAAACAAGGGAGATATGAAAAACACACAAGGCTGGGGGGTAAACAAGGGAGATGTGAAGAACACACAAGGCTGGAGGTAAACAAGGGAGATATGATGACCAAGATGGAGGGCAGGGAGCTTCCCTTCCCTAAGGAGCGGAAGGGAAGCTCATCACTCGAGAAGATTGACAAATAGGATTCAAATGTGACCCAAATCAGTTGTGTGTAAATTAAACTCGCAAACTAGTCGGCGTTGCAAGTTAAACTTGCGAAACACTAGTAGGCGTACTAGGCCTACAGTATTTCAATTGTATTTTGTTCAGCCAACCTGTCCTCTTAATAGAACGTTGCATTTTGACGTATACTTTCCCTAAGGGCAAAAATTGTCGTACTAGAAAACGGTAGCGGCTCGCGAAATTCACATATTATCCCGTTTTCTGTTTTGGGTCCTCTGGTAGGTCAGGATAAGGGCACTTTAGTACGACATTTTCTTGACGTTGGGAAACCCTAGAAGAACGGGCTGCAGATGTTGCTAAACCATTATTCCCCAACCGTACTCCTCCCTCTTCACCCCCCCCCCAACCATACCCCTCTCTCCCCATTCATGCCAGTCAGGATGGGGGGGGGGGGTTATATTGCCTGACTTACTGATTGGCTCACGCTCATACGATAACAGTTGAGGCAGGTGACAAGCTCTGTTGACGACACGTAGATATGTTGATACTGGTGAGAGGGAGGGGAGGAGGGTAAGGAGGGAGATGAGGAGGGGCAAGGAGGGAGGGGAGGAAGGCAGGGAAGGATGGAGAAGGGAAGGACGGAGGGAGTGCAGGAAGGGAAGTATAGCAGGGAGGGGAAGGTAAGTAAGAAAGGAAGGCCAAGGAGGGGAAGGATGGTTGGAAGGGAAGAACGACAGAGAGGAAAGATAAGCAAGATGGGAAGGAAGGCATGGAGGAAAGGTAGGTAAGATAGGAAGGAGAGAAGCTAGGGAAGGTATTACGGTATCGACACGATCCCCGGAGTTGGGGATCTATGAACCTGCACTCCAACTCCCAGGTATTAGGTGAGACACAGACAACGCCATCTGTTGGTGGTGGTGTGACGTCGGTGAAAGGCTGCTGTTTCATACCTCAGTTAGGAGGTGAGGTCGATGATGATGACCTCTGGTGGGTGGCATAACGATATCAACGCCATCTAGGTTGTGCAAGCAATTACAGTTTCAGTTCCCCGGTGTAAGGGTGTTACCCTAAGGTCACCCAATATACTGTCTGTCTAGCTAATGACGTTTATGTTCACAGAGGTGACGTGATGAGGCGATTGCACTGAAGAGGGCAGTTCACCTTGGGCAGTCCAGAACTCATGACGTGGTTCTGTGAGAGGACAAAGTGGCCGCCGTCGGTAGTAGCAGTGTGTTAACTGCTGGATTTGTGTAGTGTTGTATGGACCGACGTACCCGGGATTTGGCCAAAAAAAGTTACGAGACGACAGTAGTGTTCGTCTGCTGAGAAGTGTTGCTAGAGACGTCTTCCAGGGTGTTATCTACCCATGTACATGATTATTTGAGACCCCTGTCACTGTGTTACTGAAGCCCTCTGCCAGTGTGTTTATGGAGAGCGAATGTGGAGTATTGGAACACCGTGACAATACGGTGTGTGGACTGGCCCATGTTAAGGAAGGTGAACTCGCCGGTGATTACCATTGAGCGTGGACGACGTGTACCTGGAGGTAGTGGACTCACCAGGATTTGATAAACACTGCAGATCTATTGAGTGTCCTGGGTGAAAGCGACACAGTGTAAATATGTGTAGTTATACTTACATAGATATATTAGTAAGCAAGAAGGGAAGGAGGAAAGGTAAGTGTAACGTACGATTATGTTACGTTGTTGGGTATATTAAATAGTGCTTAGTGGGTTTTCCTATTTATTTAGTAGTCTTGGTTATAGCAGTTAATTGTTGACAGTGTCGTAGACGTTGAGACAGAACTTGGAGCAGAGCAGAGAGCTGAGTGAGGCGAGAGTCGCAGAGCTCTATGCGGGTGAGCGTAGCGGCTCGATGGGGAATGGTGAGTGTCTAAACTCGATGAGTGTGGTAGCTCGATGCGGTCGTAGTCTGCTGTCTGGTCTGTGTCGAAGCTGGAGCGTCTTATGGTTGATTAGAACTGCATACGCAGTGCTACATTCTTGAGGTTGAAGAGGTGTGGTAACTCGGAAGCATCTGTACTGAAGTTAACTGAATCACTGTGGAAATTATACTGATGGTTACTCGCTTCTCGATTGCTTATATGATTGGACTACACCTCGCCGTCCTCCAATATGTTGGACGGATGGAAGTAATGAACAAATCCACAAGGGCCGTGACGAGGGTTCGAACCTACGTTCGAGAGGATCCCAGACGCTGCCTTAATCGACTGAGCTACGACATTCATTTGATGCATCACGCTATTGTGATTTCTGTGTGGGATGGAAGTAATGTTAACTGTAATTAGGGAAAAGAGTTTGGCTTCGTAATCAGTGCTAATGAGTTTTCCCATTAAGGTAATGAGAGACTGGAGCGAGTACATTGTTTACTCGCTACATAAGCAGGACGGGAAGGAGGCAGGGAGGGAAATTGAAATTGAAATAAGTTTATTGAGGTAAAATACATACAAAGGGATGAGGTAGCTCAAGCTATTCACACCCCGTTCAGTACAAAGTTTTTCATACATACATACATATATAATATATATATAATATATATACATATATACACATCACAAACAATAAACATATTACCGAACATTCTAAGCGATAAACATATACATTACTTCCGGCAGAGAGGGAAGGTAATCAAGAAGAGGAGGCAGAGGGGTAAGGTAAGCAAGAAGGAAAGAGGAGCAGAAATGGAAAGTAAACAGAAAATCCTTGTGTAAATATGCAAGCTAATGGAGTATTCATTTCAGTTACCCTATAAAACTATTTAATCTTCTCTAATATATTTATGCACGTTTTCTATAAGAGCGCTAGCCCTCACGGGATAACTATTTCATAAATTATACACCATGCTCTGCTGGAGAACACCCTTTCTTACATGCTATGTACATTTGTTACGTAAGAGAAAATATACAATAGCTAATATTTTTTTGAGCTACAGTTCAAGTAATATATATATATATATATATATATATATATATATATATATATATATATATAAGCAAGTCTACCTCAAAGCCAGACTGTAAATTGTATCTCGAGTCTTAAATGTGGTCGGTTTTCTGACTTCTTTCCAAAACATTATGATTTGAATGATATTAATATATCGCGCATTGCGCTTTATCACACTGAAATGTTGTATAGTACTGTTAAGTTAACAATGTTTCCTATAACATCAATATTTCCATTAGCAGTACCAGATACGGTGCCAGCAGAAGTGGCACTTAAAGGAGCGCCGCCCCGCTCCTTATTGTCCAAGCTTTGTTGTCCCTCTTACGGTCGTGCATATACTTGTTGACTGTCCGGACTTCCAGGACGAACGTGTCTTGCTTCCCGACCGTCCCTCGCGGTCACTTGTCCCTCGATAGTATCCTTGGTGAGTCAGATACCTTCGACTTGGCCTGCCTTGTGGGCTGTTGTTGTGGTATTGTCATCCTCGGTGATATTTAGCGCCTGTTGAATATCCTGCCACACTGGTGGTGCTGCATAGTCTCCCCGGCCTGCTGCTGTCTTTGGTAATTACTTGCTTATCGTCCGCCTTGTGACCAGACAATCCAAGAGCTCCATGAACTTCTGAACACAACCATTAAACATCAGACTACAGCACCAAGCCTCCAGACTGTGGAACACCATCGTAATGTTAGAAGATCCAATGTTAGAAAGATTACTGCAATAGGAGACGTCCCTCTCCCACAGCTGGAGGTCCAGCTGACCTGGCCACACTGTGTAGCGGTGTTGGAGGCTCTACAAGACCTGGCCACACTGTGTAGCGGTGCTGGAGAGACAAGACCTGGCCCACACTGTGTAGCGGTGCTGGAGAGACAAGACCTGGCCCACACTGTGTAGCGGTGCTGGAGGCTCTACAAGACCTGGCCCACACTGTGTAGCGGTGCTGGAGAGACTACAAGACCTGGCCACACTGTGTAGCGGTGCTGGAGAGACTACAAGACCTGGCCACACTACATCCTCCCATAAGGTTAAGTGGAGGCTCCTGCCAAGGTTACTTGCCCATTTAATTTTGCCTGCGTGTGTTTTTGCTCTGTTCTCTCTCTCGTTATTGGTAATGTTGACTCGTGTCATTTTCCTACATTTGCCTGATGACATCATGTGGCTCAGCGGGGAGCATTATTTGCAACTTTTGGTGGTGCATAAAAAACATTTCTTTTCCCAGTTGTTTATGGCGCCATTCTTTGGTTGGCTGGTGGAGGCAGGTGGGTGGAGGAACAGACAGGGAGACAGGTGGGTGGAGGAACAGACAGGGAGACAGGTGGGTAGAGGAACAGACAGGGAGACAGGTGGGTGGAGGCAGTAAACTGCATAATATAATTGGTATAATGAGAGCTCGGGTCTGTAATGGGATGGCAGCTCCAGGCGGCGTCACGTCTTCATATTGCTAGATTTGTTACTCTTTTTTCTCATATTTCTAAACACCGCCTCAAGTGGAACCGCCACCACCACTGACACAATACCATGCTTGTGGGGTCTCATATTATTGATTAAACTCTACACTGTGTTCCTCTGAATGTTTAGAGGAATATACCAACACATACGAGGTCATTCGTTCACACAATATTAACCAGGGTATATATATGCTCTTGTGTGCTCCATGGGAGAGGTGCTAGTCAACATCAAGTGTAGAGGGATATTGAACATTCAGCCACAGTGGCTCTACAGTGGTAGCCAGCACACACACACGTCCTAGCAAGGGAGGACGACTCCAGTGGTAGCCAATGGTGTGTGATGATTATTGACCCATGGATGGATTGCCTGATCAATAATAAAGATATCTGTAGTGAGAGGCAAGACTATTGCTGGGGTCGTAGTCTACACCAATATGTGTCTAATCTGGCCTACAAGACATAACTATGAACGTTAAACGAATAATTGCAAAAGGTGACCCAAGGTCAGCATCCAGGTGTGCAGGCTGGCCAACCTGTGGGTGCAGGACACATTACAGCAGCGCTGTTTATAATGACCAGTCTGGACTGCCAACAGGCTTGCCAACACCCACCACTCAGGCGATGGATCAGCCCACGGCGCCCCACAAGTGGGTCAGTTTGATTACCTCGCCACATAATGGGTTCAGTTTAGTGACAACTCTCCGCTGGTCAGGTCAACAGCGCTCATTGTTTGACTTAACTTACTGTGGTAATGTTGTTAACATCTGTCAGCAGGATGACTTTTTATACGCATCAAATCTCTCTACATAGAATATAGGCTGTGGGTTGTGGTCTGTGGGTAGGAGTGAGGGAGAATGATCGCCTGTTACTACACCATCGGCCACACACTCAGATCATACCTTAAACATTGTTATCCCCTAAGTCCAACCAGTCTCTTAATCACTACCAGATGGAACAGGTGGTGGAGCAGGTGGTGGTAATGAGGTGAAAGTGGCGACCTCTCCACCAACTATACACGCCTCAGGCCTGTATACATTAAAGTATGAAGCAATGACGGCAACTCAACGCTAACATGAGCAGTTATTGCTGAACAAGACGACAACATTCTGGAGTTAGTAAGGCAAATGGCTCACAGTGATGATGGAGGCAGATAATGTTATAACACAAGGGGCTGTGGCCAGCCCCACCTCGCCTAACACAAGACAAGACACTGTCCTGGCCACAAGCCAGTGCCCAGGACAGTGACCAAGACAGTGACCAGGGCAGTAATGTTTCCAGTGAGACAAGGGGCAATTTGCGTCTTTGCGTTGACAAAAAGTACAAAAAAGCAACATATATGAATCGAGCTTAACATGTATTTATACTAAAGTTATACATACATGACCACAGAAGATTTACAAGTGAGCAGTTTATACCATAAATCGCGTCCAGGAATCAGGCCACAAATGTGTAGTGTGTGTGTGATCATACTCGGGTTATACTCCCCCCCTTGGTGGCCAGACTCACAAGGCAGTATATCCTGGTGGAGACGCCCGCCTTGCCCCTCCCAGTATACTGCCATGTTCTGGACTTTGTGAAGATGTTCATCAAGAACATGGACATTAAGGAACATCCCTCAGCCCAGTGTGACGTAGTTTTTCACCAGTCTCAAGCAGTTCCAAGTAGTTTTCGGTGTTGTGATTGGCCACGCCACCGCAACTAGACTATTACATCCAGCTTTCTCTTAGATTCTTGGACCCTTGCGCTTCGGGATCGTCTTCATCAGTAGTCACAAAAACAAAGTTTGTGGGGGATAATGGTCATTTTAAGACTTTTGGAGGGATTAGCAATACGAACAAAATTCCTACTAGTATTTCCTATCTAGTGATAATTGCCGGGTAAGAATACGAATGGTAATAAGTAATTACCAAAGGCAGCAGCAGGCCGGAGAGACTATGAAGCACCATCAGTGTCGCAGGATATAAGAGGCGCCAAATATCACCGAGGATGACAATACCAGAATAAGAACATACACGAGAAGGCATGTTAAAGGTATATTAATGCTAGTAGTATTAGTACAATGCTACACTTACAACCCAGCAACTAAAATGATTATTTTTTTCATTTGATACAGCGTTATTTTATACCCGGTAATTTGTGCTACAACCCTGTTTCCTAACCAGTATTTACCCAGGTCTTTCCTCAATCTAAACTTGCCGAATTTATATCCATTGTTTCGCGTTGTATTTTGTGTTTATATATTTAGTAAGTAAATATTTAGTAAAT